CAGAGTGCAGACGCAAGACAAGAAGGTCCTCGCGGAACCGCTCGCGGAGCTGGAGACGGACTGCGCGGATCCAAGGGATCAAGACATCAGGGACCTCACCCTTGCTGCGCAAGGGGAAGACCGTGGTGTAACGCGTGTAGTCGTCAACAACCAGCAGAAAGTAGTGCTCGCGGCCCTATCCACTGACGCGGGCTGGGCCCCATACGACCATGTGGAGAGTCTGCAAGGGAGCAGTCGTCGCGGGAAACGACGAGGAGTGAGGAGCGGCGCGCTGCCGCCCCTCGACGCAAGGAAGGCAGGGCGGGGCACGCGAGGGCGGGAGGGGAGGCAGAGACCTAGGAAGACCAGAAACAAAGAGGCGGGAGTGCATGCCACGAAGGCGTGGCAGGGAGAAATACCAAAACAATGGTGCCACAGAAGAGTCTGGTACGACAGGAGGCGACACGAGCAGGGGGGTGCTACCGGACCTGACGCGGACATCTGGGCAGACGCAGCTACCTGAGGAGGCTCACTGGTCAGTGTGTACAGACTCGACCCAGGCCGACGGGTGAACATGGCCAGGTGACGGCCCGTCCGTGTACACATGCAGATCGATACTCGCTGACCCCCAGGAGTGGTGGTAGTGACCATCGCATCCTGGAGGGTAGCGGTCCTCACCAAGTTATTTGAGAACGAGGGGAGGTGAAGAGCTGACAGTGAGCCGGACCAGTGGAGGACACGGGAGAACAGTGGAGGAACTGGCAAGAACTGGTCCCCCTGAGGGGTCAGCCAGTCTGACCGGTACAGGTGCAGAGAGAGGAGTGAGGGTGGTGCTGTCGCGAAGGAAACATCGGGAAGCACTTGAGTCAAGCGTAAAGGTGTGCAAGGCCTCAGCAGGCGCAGTAACACGGAGAGCAGACTCACTAGCACCTAGAGCAGCAGCCTCTATACCTGGGTCAAGCGGCACACACAGGTAACAGTCACCCTCAGCACTAACAGATAAGGCATACATAGCAGCAAGGATAGGATCATAGTGAATATCAAAGATAGCAACTCCAGACCTAAGCAGCTCTGCCCAGAGGGGGCGCTCGGCCTTGTCACCAAACTCTGCGCGCCAAGCGTCGTCTAGGCGGGAGTAACAGCGGTGCTGAGTGTGAGGCTTCCCGCATGTCTGACCAGCACGGTCACCCGTGCGAATGACATACGGGCAGCTAACACTACCCCCAGACGCCCCACGCTGAGCAAACCACTCACGAAGCTGCTTGGGCAAAGGGGTCTTGCTTTGATGCTGCTGCTGCTGCCTTTGGCCACCGCCAGAACCTCCCCAAATGCCACCACTCCCACAGCCGCCACGACCGCCACCTCCACTGCCCCCACCACTACCGCCACCAAAGCCCCCAGTCCCGCCAACACTCCCACCGCTGCCACCACCTCCACCACCTCCACCACCTCCACTGCCGCCACCACCACCACCCCCGCTGCCCCCTCCACCACTCCTGCCACCTTTGCCCTTGCTGCTGTGGCGCTTCCCACCAATAGCAGAAGCAGCCCCGACATCCTCAGCACCAAGGACGTCAACAGCAGCAGCAGAAGCGTAGAAGGGGGCAAGGGGGGAGGGGGAACACCCCTCAAAGAAGGGAGTGCGAGGAGTGCCACGAGCAGCACCTACAGCGACTACGCTAGTCTCAGCTGCAAGGAGGTGCTTCTCGAGCAGGTCGACTGTGAGGTCGGTGGGGTCAAGTGCGAGAAAGTGGTCCATGACTGCGCGAAGAGAGTCAGGGAGGCGGGTGACTATGAAGTAGAGAGTGATGTACATCGGGGCGGGGGGGGTTCCTGTCTAGGAACTCGGCTGGGAGGGCAGCGCGGTAGCGAGCGTCGCTAGTGCGAAGGTGGGTAACGAGGTCATCTATCGTGGCAAAGGCGGACAGCTCGGGAAAGAGGTAGGGCAGTAGAAGACAGCCTAGAGCAGCAGTGGTAGGGGAGGAGTAACGGGCGACTACAGCGTCGTACAGTGCTTTAGCAGTCTTGTGCTGTCCGAAGTGAGTGCATTCGGCTAACGGCAGGTGGTTGCGAACGGCTAAGCGAGCATCAGCGTCACGGGTAAGCCACTGAGAGCGAGTCGCACTGTCAGCTGTGGCGGGAGGGGCGAGAGAGGCTCCTGACGTGTGGTCAAACAACGAAACGCTGTCTCTAGAATCGCTCAGTAGGTACAGCTGTAAGTCGTCGAGCCACGTATCGAACTGAATCGGACGGCCCTCATGATCGAAGCTGATTACACTGAGAGAAGCCATAGTAGGCAGAGCAGGGTGGCGCGTGACCTGCAGAGCAGCACGCAGGGAGGGCGGCGCTAGAGCATTAGGGAAGCGCGCAGAGCAGGGCAGGGCGGCGCACGGCTTGGGCGGCCACCATGGCGGTGCACAGCAGGGCGGGCAGTAGCCGGGCGGCGCAAGCAGCAGGGCTGGCAGTAGCCGCGCAGCGCAAGCAGCAGGGCGGGCAGCAGCCGGGCGGCGCAAGGGCTGCAGAGGAGGTGGCAAGCAGGCCGCAAGGGGCGGCGAGCGGTCTGCAATTGGCGGCGCACAGGCTGCATGAGGGGCGGCTCGCGGGCTGCAAGGGGGGGCAAGCGGGCCGCAGGCGGGTGGTGAGCGGGCTGCAGGCGTGCGGCGAGCAGGCTGCAGGGGCGGCGAGCGGGCCGCAGGCAGGCGGCAAGCGGGCTGCAAGGGTGGCGAGCTGGCCGCAAACGGGCGGCAAGCGGGCTGCAGGGGCGGCGAGCGGGCCGCAGGCAGGCGGCAAGCGGGCTGCAGGGGTGGCTAGCGGGCCGCGAGCAAGCGGCGAGCGGGCAGCAGGGGCGGCGAGCGAGCCGCAGGCAGGCGGCGAGCAAGCTGTAGGGGCGGCGAGCGGGCCGTAGGGGCAGCAAGTGGGCTGTAGTGGCGGCGAGCGGGCCGCGAGCAAGCGGCAAGCGGGCGGCAGGGGCGGCGAGCGAGCGGCAAGCGGGCGGCGAGCGGGCCTTAGGGGCGGCGAGCGGGCCGCAAGGACGGCGATCGGGCCTAGGGGCGGCGGGCGGGCCGCAAGCGGGCGGGGCGCGGGCTGCAGGGGCGGCGCGCGGGCCTCAAGGAAGTGGCGAGCGGGCTGCAGGGGCAGCGAGCTGGCTGCAGGGGCTGCTCGTGGGCTGCTAGGGACGGCGCGACGAGCTGCTAGGGGTGGTGCCGCGGCCAGCAGGGTGGCGCGTCAGTAGGGTAGGGCGGCAAGGCAGGGCTGATTTCATCAGGGTAATTACCCTGATTTCAGGGTGATTTCAGGCTTTCCACTTCGTGGAGACTGAAATTTCATAGTTATTGAATTTCCAGCCCCGATTCAATCAGAGTAATAGTTTAGCTATCCCTGATTTTGAGTACAGTGTAACAGACTAGGCTGTTAGTGGACCCTGACTTAACAGAGTATCGACTGTGTGGACCCTGACTTATCGAGAGGAAGTTTCTCGGAAGTTTCCTTCCGATGACCCCGCCTTGGATTGATCGCAGTGATCCCCCCACATGTGCGTAATCCCCCCCCTTCCCGCTTTATCGAGACGAAGTTTCTTCGAAACTTCGTTCTGATACACCTACCATCGAGATCGCGTGAATGTGCAATGGCAGATATACTTTGCTGGGATTGGTCGAAATAGGCTCTGACAGCGGAAATCTGTGACTCGAACAGGTCAATCACACCCGCCCTGCACAAACCAGTCGAGTGTACAGCCAGCAGGAAACACAGCGCGCAGACTTTATGGAGAGTGGGGATATTTTCCCCGGTAACAAAGCGCGCGTTACTACTCTGATGTTCAGTTCTCGACCCTGAACAATCAGTGTTAACTACTTTACAACCCTGAGCAATCAGGGTACTGTTTTTCTGGAAAATGTGCACCCATAATAGAGGGGGAAAATTTTCCCCGGAATCAGGGAGGCTTAAAATGAAACGTCAGCCCTGCGGCAAGGCAGCTAGTGGGGCAGCTCTGTGGTGGGCCCTAATAAATGAATTGGGAATGAATGAATGAACTATGAAAGAGTTGGGTACAAGTACTAACACTAATTAGGTTGTACCTCTTATGGGCTACCCCACTATAGCCTACACAAAGTAAGCACTAAGTAATTTTGACACTATTCATTACTGAGTCTGCTCCTAGGGCATACAGCCCCGTGCACTTCGCGTCACTTTCAGGTTCGGCCTACACTTCGGCCCGAACCACTGCCGAGTCGCCCCGCACCAATCGCGACACTTCCAACCCATCCACGTCCTGAGGTCCTCGCCTAGCACGGTTTCGACCCTATAAATGCGTGCTCCTTAACCATTCTTGTCATTCTGTACTTCACATCATTCAGGTTCTTCCACGCACTCTGTTTAGTACAAATCATAACAATTCGCTTCTCTCAGCTACACCTGAGGCTCCCTGGCAGACTCAAATATATCTAGCCCAAGTGGAGGCTGAGCCTCTGTTACGAAGCTCTCGAAGTCCCCAAATGTCACTCAGCGTCTGCCAGCCACTTGTGCCACGGGGCGGGAATGCCCCACCACACTGGTTCGGTTCGGCGAGCCCGTCACCGAACCCAGGGCGAGCACAGCGAAGCAGGGCGAACCTCTCTGACCGAAACCGAGGCCATGCACCAGGCGAGCTGCCTCTGACATGTTCAAACAACTGCGACCCGCGCAGACTGCATGCACCAGCTCGACGAAAAGCGGAGATTTTCGGCTAACCTAGAGTATTCCCTTTCTTCAGCCTCACCCCACCGCTCTCCCGTTCACGTCACCGCTCTTCCATTCACCCCACCCATCCTGCTTTCAACTCTGCTCTGCTTGCAATTACATCATCCGCCTCTGACACTCCCTTGCCCACTACCAGCAGGTCACTCCGTTAGTTGCTCCTTGGAAGTTATCCTCGAAGCATGCACGCTCGCGACCACGCACGTATTCGAATGCCAATAGCATGACCGCAGTGAACTGATGCGTTAGAATGCTCTCGTAGACTTGAAGTACACGACGTACTCGTTATGGAGAAAACTCCGAGTCAAACCCTTTGGCCGGCCTGCCCTAAGCTGGGCACGACGGCGATGGTCCGCGCGGCGGCGCTGCTGCTGGTGCTGCCGGCCTTGGCGATCCTGAGCGTCGTGGATCCCGAGGTGGCGAAGCCGGCGTGGGACGACGGCGTGGTGGACGGCGTCGACGCCGACCTCTTCCGCCGCGCCATGGTGCAGATCGACGACGCGCGCCTCGCCGAGCCGCGCGGCAAAATCGCCTTCCTCTTCCTCGTGCGCGGCCCGTTGCCGCTGCAGGAAATCTGGCACCGCTTCTTCCAGGTGACTCCCGTGTGCCTCCACGTTGCTCCTTGCTTCGAAGTGACTCGCCACTCGCTGTCGTGTCCGGCAAGCGAGCTCCCGCTTTTCAAGCGCGCGCATTGCCGCGCGTCGCTCTCACGGAACCTTCCGACCATGTCCCCGCCCCTCCTGCACTCGGTCCATAGTTGTCAGCATTCCGCCGCTCTTGTTCGTTCCCACACCCCGTTCCGCCCCCCACTACCGCCTCCCCCCATCACGCGCGTGCGTCCCGCCACGCCCCCCATGCCGCTCCGCGCGCCCCCCGCAGGGCCACGAGGCGCAGTTCTCGGTGTACATCCACGCGTCGCTGCCCGACTTCGACTGCGACCGCGCCGTCAGCTTCGCCGCCTTCCGCGGCCGCCAGATTCCGAGCGTGCCGGTGAGGCAAGCGCTGCGCGTTGGCTCGAGCAGCGTGTGTCGTGGCGCATGCCGCGCCGCCGAGCGCTGCCCGCTGCTCCTGTAGGTGCGGAGACGCACGGTACGCTGCAGCATGTGGTGTGTGTTTACTTTTCGCCTCTTGGTGGAGCCCAGGAGGTGTGCGCTGCAGCGTGTGGTGATGTGCGCTGCAGCGTGTGATGATGTGCGCTGCAGCGCGTGGTGATGTGCGCTGCAGCGTGTGGTGATGTGCGCTGCAGCGCGTGGTGATGTGCGCTGCAGCGTGTGGTGATGTGCGCTGCAGCGTGTGGTGATGTGCGCTGCAGCGTGTGATGATGTGCGCTGCAGCGCGTGGTGATGTGCGCTGCAGTGCGTGGTGATGTGCGCTGCAGCGCGTGGTGATGTGCGCTGCAGCGTGTGGTGATGTGCGCTTTGCTTCTCACCACCAGCCCCTCACCGCCGCATTCCCTGCTTGCTCTTGGTCCTTGGCGTGCCACGTGGCAGATTTCGTGGGGAGGGCCCAACCTGATCCGCGCGGAGAGGCGGCTGCTGGCGGCGGCGCTGGCGGACCCAGCGAACCAGCGCTTCGTGCTGCTCTCCGAATCGTACGATGCTCGCCCCTGCCCTCCCTGTGCTCCCGCTCCTTGCGCTCTCGCGCTCGCTGTTGCTTTCTCTCTTGCCTTCTCTGTGCTCGTGTGCGTGCACTACTGCAGGGCTCCGCTCTGTCATTCCGCCGCACATTATAGAAAACCACTCCACTTCACTCCACTCCACTCCACTCCAACACCAACTCCGCCCCTCTGTTTCTCGCCCCTCCCCCCCCCTGTGGCGCGCGGCGGTGGCAGGTGTGTGCCGCTGTTCAACTTCTCGCACGTGTACGACTACCTCTTCGCCTCGCCCACCAGCTTCATCACCAGGTGTGAGGCACCGCCAGGTGGGCCGCGTTGCCAGGTGGGCCGCGTTGCCACGTGGGCCGCATTGCCACGTGGGTGGCATCATCAGGTGCGTGGCATCATCAGGTGCGTGGCATCATCAGGTGCGTGGCATCATCAGGTGCGTGGCATCAGCGTTTGGAGATGTGAGGTGCATCGCAGATGGATGCACCCAGCAGCTCCAGCAGGTATCTCGCTTGCCGTGCTCCTGCCTCATCACTCCTCCCTTACTCCCCCCTCCCCTCTTTCCTTCTCTCCCCCCCCCCCCACACACACCCCACTTCCGTGCGCACTCGCAGTCATCCCAGCGAGTGGCGGTACCAGCCGGGCATGGCGCCAGCTGTCAACCGCAGCCAGTTCCGCAAGGGCTCGCAGGTGAGAGGTGTGAGGGGTGGTGGGCTCACAGGAGATGTGGTGGGCTCTCAGGTGTGGAGGGGGGGGGGGGGGGTCGCAGGTGGGGGGGGGGGGGTGGGGTCGCAGGTGGGGGGGGTGGTGGGGTCGCAGGTGGGGGGGGGTGGTGGGGTCGCAGGTGGGGGGGGTGGTGGGGTCGCAGGTGGGGGGGGGGTGGGGTCGCAGGTGGGGGGGGTGGTGGGGTCGCAGGTGGGGGGGGGGTGGGGTCGCAGGTGGGGGGGGTGGTGGGGTCGCAGGTGGGGGGGGGGGGGTGGGGTCGCAGGTGGGGGGGGTGGTGGGGTCGCAGGTGGGGGGGGTGGTGGGGTCGCATGTGGGGGGGGGGGGGGGTCGCAGGTGGGGGGGTGGGTGGGATCGCAGGTGGGGGGGTGGGGTCGCAGGTGGGGGGGTGGGGTCGCAGGTGGGGGGGTGGGGTCGCAGGTGGGGGGGGTGGGGTCGCAGGTGGGGGTGGTGGGTTTGCACCTGGCAGGGAATGAAGGTGTGAGGAAGCTTCATATGGCAGCAGAGGTGCTGTGCAGTGAGGTGCTGTGGCTTCTCTTTTCGCACCGCACAAGCTGTGAGGTGAGGTGAGCTTTTCCGCACACACCTTGTGCACGTTGCACTGCGCACTCGCCTCCGATGCCACCTCCCTCCCTCCGTCACACATTCACACTCGTTTCTGCCCTTTTGTGCAATGGTGCTTGCCTGTGATTGACCGTGGTTGACTTGCTACAACGCTGTGCCCCTCCCGTGTGTGCCTGCCTGCCACGGTTGTCACCCTGTGGTGTTTGGCAGTGGTTTGCATTGACTCGGCGGCATGCGGACATGGTGGTGGCGGACACACACGTGTACGACGCCTTCCTAACCAACCATGCCATGGTCAGCCCGCCCTCCGCCTCCGCTCCCTCTCATGCCTCCCCATGCACGCCCCTCCCATGCACGCCCCTTCCATGCATGCCCCTCTAATGCCTCTCTTACTCTCAGCTCACCTTGCTCCCTGCTTTCGTTCACACAAGCCTGCTTCGCTCTCATAGGCCCTCTCAGCCTGCGTCTCTCTCCTCTGCTGCCCTGCCGCTGCTGCTCTGCACCTCCACCACACCAACAATGGATGTTGGCTTGGCTCACCGTTCTCCTGGGCCATGCCTTGTCTTTGTCCAATGGACTCTCTGTTCCATCCCTTTGCTTCCCTCTGCCTTCAGATTCCTGACGAGAGCTACATCCAGACGCTCCTTCTGGTACCTTCCCTGCGCCCTCCTATCGATTGCTCCTCTGCTTTCCTTCACTCGCACACCTGCGCCTCTCCCTCTCGCTTTCTTCCACTGTGTGCCTTCTTCCACCGTGTCCTTCCTTTCACCATGTTCCCCAACCCCATTCCGCCCTTTCTGCCACCCTTTTTTCTTACCGCTGCTGCTCTGCCCCTGCCATGTGCTCCTCCTCCCTCTTTGCCCTTCACCCCCCACCCCGCATCTCTCCCTCCACTTCCTCTCACCCCAACCACCCACCCCCCCCCCCCCACCACAGATGCTGGACCCAGGCGGCGTGGAGCCGCGGGGGGTGACGTTTCTGCACTGGCAGCCGACGGCGGGGCGCCACCCGCTGACCATCACACCGGAGCAGCTCACGCCCGACTTCCTGCGCTCCGTGCAGCGCACGCGCCTGCCCCCCAAGGAGGCCATTGGCTTCCTGCGTGTGCCCGCGCCGCGCCTCTGCCAGCTGGCGGGGCGCCCCACGCACTGCTTCCTCTTCGCCCGCAAGTTCAACGCCTCTACCATCCCCACCCTCCTCGCCCTCTCCCCCGCCCTCGGCTTCTAGACCATCCCCTTGCCTTCCTCCTCTCCTTTCTCCTGTTCTTCGAGACCCTAAACCCAGAACCCTAATCTCTGGACTCTAGTGGCCCTTGGTCTATGCCGTGCCGTCATGGCTGCCGCACTCGTGTAAGATACATACATGCATGCATCAGCGACACCACATCAGCCCGCACACAAGACTGGTGACTAGGTGTGGACTGGTGCACATACACTGACATCGGGAGATGACATTACAGGCGCTGCAAGGCAGCTGAAATCCCTTCCCCCCTCACCTGCCCATGTCATGTCACCCCCTGATTTTGACTGAAGGATTTTTTAGGAGGCGTTTGTGGCAGAAAAATGTTAGTGTCGTATACAGGCTGCTGGATAGGATTCTGTACCTCTTTCACATAAGGCCAACTCACTATTTCACACGCCGGGCCGCCTGCCAATGTGCATCCGTGCGCTTGCCAACGCCAACGAACCGTGCCAGAACACTGACGGGGTAGGCCAGGTCGGGGCAGGCGCATACCATGGCGAACATCAGCACCCCAACAAGCTCTGGATAGGGGTCAGAGAAGGTGAATGGGGTGACAAGGGGGAAAGGCTGGTGCCTGGCTGCAATGGGCGTGGCGATGGGTTTGACTCTGGACATACCCAACCTCTAGAGAACCTTGTCAATGTAAAAGACCCCCCCCCCCAATAGTAGACCCCCAGGTCTTTCTATTTAGGTGTGTTTGGGCTTCCTTCCCCCCTCCCCCCCCCCCCCCCCTTTCGTTAAAATCTTTGTAAGACCCCCCCGCCCTTATACAGTACAGAGATCTTTAGGGCCATTTTATGCCATTTCCTCATAACACAAACCGCGGCCCTATCAGGCTTACCGTATGGCCCCGGATATACGGTAGGCGCCGTCCGATTAAAGGCGCCGGCGCTTATATCTGGAGCATGGCGCTTATGGCCGAAACTCGATTATGAGCGCCCCCCCTGTAAACCCTTTACTTATTATAAGCGCACTTACAGTTTTAATTTGAAATCGTTTAAAATGGTAACGATAATTACTTTTTGCAGCGAGTCTTTTTTCAATTTCGCTTCGTTTGACTCGCGAATGTTGAGAGATGTAGGTCTCTTAGCATTTCTGAAATTCCCAGTTAGACTATACAATATCGAAACAGTACAATAGTGGGTCTCGAACTTGATGACGTCAGCATTTGGATTCAAAGTAGCTCTAGGCCTAGGTCAACAAATAGCCACTTTCATTAGTGTCTATAGGTCAACACCCCTAGAGTGACGAGTAGGTACTTCGTCTACAGTATACGAACAGGTACTTTTACTAGGACTATAAAACCTCTGTATGCATGTTTCATAAATATAACTTTACACACATAATTTTTATAACTTACAACTTTCATATACAAGCTTGACTCCACACAAGTTGGACAAGCTACAAGTCTTCCGCTGCCAATACTTAGTCTTTAATCCAAGATACTACGATCCTGAAAAGGGCTACGTCCCTTAACCAATTCTACGGGTTTCCAACCCATTCCATCTGTTAGAATTTAAACTGTCTGAATAGGATCGTAGTCTTAGGATAGTAGCTTCCTGTAGCAGTGGAAGTCTTTATATGAGTGACTTGTAACAGGATCAAAAGTCTATGAAATCAAGTATATTATAAAATGACAAGCATACAGAATATATAACTAGACTAAAGTACCTGTTCGCCTACTGTGCTGTATTTATTCGCGCTATTCCTGTTCTGAAAAGGTACGTGACTATTCGCGATACCTACAGCTACTGATGACGTCATCCTAAGGCGCGTAGCACTTTGCTGACGTCAGTCTATCGGTACTTTTACTGTACTAACTATACGAATTCCTTGAAGTGCATAAGTCTCGACATTATCTCAACACTCCCCTTCACTTCTAGGAGTTCGGTGTAGTCACCCTGTTGACTCGGAAATGCCACTGAGCTGGTTGCAGTGATGAAATTTCTGACGTGTCAGCTTCTTAGTAAGCGAATCAGCGGCCATGTCGCTGGTGGGGCAGTAGACAAGGCGCATTCTCCCCTTGTCGATCGCGTCTTTTACGAAGAAGTAACGCTGCGAAATATGCTTCGTGCGATTGACGAAACCAGGCTTGTTGGCGATGGTAATTGCACTCTGGTTGTCGCACTGCAACGTGAACTGATTCGGCGTGACGAATTTTGCTTCGTCAAGTAACTCCTGCAGGTACAGACCTTCGCGAGTTGCAGCACAAGCGGCGATGAATTCTGCTTCAGCCGATGAAAGTGACACCAGTTCCTGTTTCGAGGAATTCCAGGAAATCGGACCAATCGGCTCGAGACGGAAAATATAACCCGTGTGTGATCGTCGATCTGACGTGTCGCCAGCGTGGTCTGCGTCAACGTACCCGCTGAGGTACATTTTGTCGGTCAGCTTCCCAGCATTGAAAATCAATCCGAGTGTTGGTGTAGAGACGAAATAGCGTAGCGCATGCTGTAAGTCGAGAGAGTGTTCTTCTTTCGGGCAGCGTAAAAACTGCGCAAGGTGACTTGCGACGTAGGCAAGATCAGGGCGACAAGTGACTGCTGCGAAAAGAAGACATCCCAGCTGCTGCTGATACAGTTGAAGACCAGCTGCTGACAAAATTTTCAGATCGGGAACGTGCCCAGTGAGTGTAGACCGATAAGGTGTAGCAACGAAATCCGTGGAAATGTTGAAACGCTTAGCGAGTGACTCCGCATACTTCGAAGCCGTGAGATGAATAGCGGAAGAAGTTCGCGAAACGTTTAACCCCAGAAATTGAGTTACTTTGGTGGAAATGGTTAAGTCAAGTGACTTCTTCAGATCAGCTTCGATACGATCACCCAGCGAAGTAGACGAACTGACGTAGAGGATGTCGTCCACGTAAGCCACTAACAACGCATAGCTCCCCTTGTCGTCTAGCCGGTACATCCCGGGATCGTGCGGCAGTTGTCGAAACCCAACCTCCGTCAGCTTCCTGTTCAAATGCTGCTGCCACAGTCGCGGTGCTTGTTTGATTCCGTACAGTGATTTTTTGAGCTTGCAGACACTCGGCGGATTTGTCGGATAGGTGTGTGGATATTCGACGTAGATTTCGGCATCGACGTCGGCGTACAGAAAAGCGTTGGAAACATCGATTTGTCGAAGTGGAAAATTCTTCGCGGCTGCTTCGCAAAGAACGAGTCGAACACTCGTATGTCGACTGACCGGGGCGAAAGTAAGTGTGTAGTCGATCCCATGAGTCTGATCAAAACCACGAACCACCCATCGTGCCTTGTGTTTCTCGTAAGTACCATCCGCTTTAGTCTTCACCCTGAAGACTTACTTACTGGTAAGAACATTTTTGTTTACCGTTTTTTCAATGGGTATAAGATCCCAAGTTCCCCTTTTCTCCAGGGCAGCCAGTTCGCGATCCATCGCTTCACGCCATTTTTCGCGATGAGGCCCTGAGAGAGCTTGTCGGGCAGTTTTCGGCTCCAAATTCACTGTAGAACTGTGCTGTACCGCTGCTGCGAGTCCCAGAATTTGAAGTCCGGTTTGATAATGCGGATTATCGTCGGTGCGACCTACGAAATTGACAGAATCATTCTGGTCTCCACTTGCCCCCCCAATTTCGTCAGGGTTGACATGGATGCTGCTATCGGAAACCACCGGCATTGGTTGGCGTTGTTCATCCACGAGGTAAGTATGATGAACATCCCGAACATCCTCAGGTGCCGTGTCAGCAAGAGGAATAAACTCCGGAATTCCGGATGACGTGACAGGGACAGGTGGGTCGGGAGCAGCTTCACGTGCACCGTCAGAGTCAGGTTCTTCGCTGGCAGCAATTTCGACATCGGCGTTAGCAAACGAACGAACACCGTGGAAAAGCGTGGCAGGGTTTTGCTGCGAAGCAAGATGCTGTTCGAAGACGGGCAGCGTCAGATTCTCGTAGAAAATACAGTCGCGAGCAGGAACAAGGAGACGACTGCGATAATCCATGATACGCCAGGCAAAATATTGTTTTTCAATGCCGAGATGCAGCCCCCACTTAGCACGCTGATCGAACTTCCCGAGCAGAGCGGTAGGAGGATGTAACTGAACAACACACCCGAAAACACGAAGTAATTTAGTGGTACCCAACTTGCCCGTCCACAGCAAGTGGGGTGATGCGTTGTTGGGCAGGGCCGAGGACGAAAGAAGATTGTGCAACAGCGTTGCATGGTCCATGGCGAAAGGCCAGTAGAGTGGGCCGAGTTGAGCCTGGGCAAGAAGGGCTCGCATCTTCTCTTGCAGAGTCCTGTTGAGCCTCTCTGCTACGCCACTCTGCTGATGAGCGTGAGGCAACGAAAAAAGTCGTCTTATCCCGCGTTCTTGCAGATAGGCCGTGAACTCAGTACTGCGATACTCGCCGGCGCCGTCACACTGAAACGCCTTGAGCTTAGTATCAGACTCTCGTTCGGCGAGAGGAAGCCAGGTGCGGAAAGCTGTAAACGCAAGAAAACGGTTAGTCATGTTTCCAGTCCAAACGTAACGAGTAGAAGCGTCTGTAAATGTGATAACATAGCGTTCGCCGTTGAAACCATCCGCAGGTAAGTTGAGTATATCGCTGTAAACCTTATCCATCAGATGATAATCTTCAGCGCCAGGGAAATGAGTCGGGAACGGCTCGTGCGGCAGGTTCGCTGCAGGGCAGATGGTGCAGGGGGCCGGGCGATTCACCGGCTTTAGTTCGAGACCGCTCGGTAAGAGTAACGAATTCTTGTCAAGAACTGCAGCCTTGATCGTGTTGTTTAGCGTAAACTGCGACGGATGACCAAGTCGCTTGTGCCATGTTTCTCCCGTGGCTTTGTGACCTTGTGCGCGCAGGTAATACTCGGCGTTAGCGAAGAACGACAACAGAAGCTGATGACCATCGGAGCGGATCTGATCGAAAGCAGGTGCGACGTAACGAGTAAGATTTGGTGGTGGAACACGAACCTCAACATCCACGTACTCGCCTGGAGCAAGTACTAACTCGCCGCTTT